TAGGGTGGGTAACATCAATAGGGTATTTTTGGAATCGAGGTGACGTCTAGAGGCCAGAAATCGGTGACCGTCGTATTTTTGGAATCGGAATGACGTCTAATGATCAAAAATCGATATGCGACGCCATTTTGAAATCCAAGATGGTAGCTTCCGGTTAAAGAAAATGTGGGAAATACTGTCAAATACCCATCAATATGGACATTTTTGGAATTGGGATGACATGACATCTAGAAAATCGATATCCGACGCCATTTTTAAATCCAAGATGGCGGCTTCCGATTTCAAAAAAGTGAGAAAGATTGTAAAATACCCATCAATGTTGGTTTTTTTTTAAATCGGCATGTCATCCGATTTAAGAAAAAGTAGGAAATACTATCAAATACCCATCAATATGGGTATTTTTGGAATTGGGGTTACTAGAGATTGGAAATAAATATGCATGTCAAGATGGTGGTTTCCAGGTTAGGAAAAAAAGTGGAAAAATACTGTCGATTACCCCTCAATATGGGTATTTTTGAAATCGGGATGACGTTTAAAGAATGAAAATCGATATCCAACGCCATTTTGAAATTCATGATGTCACCTTCCGGTTTAAGAAAAAGTGGAAAATTCTATCAAACCGTCGAACAGTACCAGTACCGGTACCCTATCGGAACCGGCGCAAGGTAACCTAAATGACATTAACGGCGCCGGTGATGTAGCGGTAAGCGTGATTACCTCTCACCCCAGCAGGCCTGGGTTCAATCCCAGTCGGCGCCGCCGGGATGTTCTGAGGCATAACATCTCTGATCACACCTTCCTTCGCATGGGAAGTAAAGCCGTTGGTCCCCGGTTCATGAGTTGATGGGTCGATAGGTAGCACTGGCGTGCACAGGGTGGGGCAAGGTGGGGCAATTGCCCCTCCTTTTATAAAGAAGATGTTTATTTCCACATTTCCAAATTACGATATAAAATAACTTGTTTTCTTGATAACATGATTTGAAGGTAAAATAACTTCATTTCATACTATAAGGGCACTGAAAACCTGGTATGGTATCTGAAAATTGCACCACAAAGGTGCATGAAGGGACAAACTTCAATCAAATTTTTTGGTCAAAAAATTGCACCACAGTGGTGCATACAAAAAAATTCTGTTGTAATTTTTTTTCAAGGTGTTTCATGGAGGGATAATAGAAGAGGGTTAATTTAAGGTTGAAGCAATTCACCTTCGTGGTGGTAAATCGAAGAGAAAGCTTTTTATTGAATTTCTGGTGTAAAAATATCATCAATCATGGAGGGACTAATCAATGGTGGAAAAATTGAATCACGCTAAAAATTTGGAGGTGCACATTTAACGGAATATTTCTGGTGAAACGTTCGCAATACTGTGGTGAATGTAGAAGCAAGGTTTATCTATTTTTTTGGTGCATAATTTGCATCGTTCTGATGAATGCAAGCTTCATTGAAAATTTATGGTGGAAAATTTGCACCATTCTGGTGCCTGAGAATTGCACCACAAAGGTGCATGGTAAAACAAACTTCACTGACAATTGTTGGTGCACCATTCTGGTGAATGGAGGAGCATGCTTTATTGAAAATTAATTACTGGTGCAAAATTTGTATCGCTCTGATAAATGAAATTAACAGAAAATTTCTGGTGGAAAACTTTCACTAGTCTGGTAAACTAAGGCACAAGCTTTATTTAAATTAAGCTATATTGAAAACTTCTGGAGGAAAATCTGGGAACGGATGGGCAAGCTTTTTGGCAAATGTTTGGTCTCAAATTTGCATCCTTTTGGTCAATAGAGGAACAAACTTAAATTATAATTTCTGGTGTAAAATTTGCACCATGATTGGAGGGAAGCTGCTTTACTGAAAAATCTGAAAATAGGGGCAAGTTTTATTTTGTGGAAAGCCTGCAACATTCTGATGATAGGAGAAGCAAGCTATATTGAAAATGTCTGGTGGAAAATGGAAAAAAGGAAATCTGCACCAATCAGAAGATTGGAGAACAATTTTTTTGAACATTAACGGTGAATAATTTGCTTCGTTCTGGGCAATTGAAATTTCCTGGTGTAAAATTTTCTGGTGTACAATTTTCTTTGGGCCAGTTTGTATTGAAAATTTCTGGTTTAAGATTCAATCTGCTGCATGAAGGGGCTAGCTGAATTGATAATTCCTGATGTAAAAATTGTACAGCTCTGGTGAATAGAGGGGCAAGTTTTATTGAACATTCCTGGTAGAAAAACTGCAATGTTTTGGTGAATGGACGGACAACTTAAACTTGGCTTCTGAGAAGAACCTCAAGGGTATTGAATTCTGAAGAGAAGTTACAAAAGAATGCAAATTCTGCGAATAATTTCTAGTGAATCCTGCAGATAGTTGCAAGATAATTTCGAAAATAATATCTAGAGAATCAAATTTTGAATGAAATTCCAAAGAAATGTTGGGGAAAGTTTCAAGGAAATTCAGAGGATAATTTCAAGATCGTTTTGGGAAGAATTTCTGGAGAATACAAAGGAAATTCTTCTGTAACATTAGGGGAATTTCAGTTCCAAGGTGCTTTGAGAAAAAAAAAAGTTCTAGAATATTCCTAGAAGCACCTCAAGGATATTGAATCCTTAGGACAGTTCCAAAATATTTCTGGAAAGAATTCAAAGAAAATTCTGCGGATAATTTTTAGTGCATCCTGCAGATAGTTCCAAGATAATTTCGAAAAGAATACCGAGAAAATCAAATTTTGAGTGAACTTCCAAAAGGATTTTAAGCAAAATTTCAAGCGAATTCCGAGGATAATTTTTAGCTCATTCCGGGAATAATTTCTGAAACTCTAAAGGAATTTCAGTTCCAAGGTGTTCAGAAAAAAAAATCATGAGTAATTGTAAATATAATTCCAGTGGACTTCTAAGACGAATTTCAAAAGAGCTCTTGGGAGAGTTCTAAAAACTCCGAGAAGATCCTCAAGGATATTGAATTCTGAGGACTGTTCCAAAATATTTCTGGGGAGTATTCCAAGAAATGTCTGCGAATAATTTCTAGTGAATCCTGCAGATAGTGCCAAGATAATTCCGAAAAGAATACCGAGAAAATTAAATTTTGAGTGAAATTCCAAAGGGATTTTGAGGAAAATTTCAAGGGAGTACCAATAATTTCTAGCTCATTCCGGGAATATTTCAAGAATTTCAAAACCAGGAAGGCTATCGACGAAGAACTGGACCACAAAAAAACAGCTATGATTGTTGCTAGTAAAGCAAAGCGACTACAAAATTGCTATATAATTGAACATTTCATCGATATTGTGCGCATACTTTGCAAAGGTAGCCGACATTCGGAAGGAGCGGAAAGTGTGCCACCCAGTTGGTGGCTAACTACGGTCCTGTGCTGGAAAAACACTTGGCGGAAGGTGCAAAAAATTGCAAGTATACAAGTAAACGTATTCAAAATGACATGATTACGTCGTTGCACAATGGAATGGAAGGAAGATGAACCACCACCGGAGCAAAAACTAAATAAAATTAGCTAAATTGAACAGTAGGGAAAAAGTGGGAGGAGGACAGCACCATCTACCACGTACTTTGGAGTACTCCCCATCCCCAGATTAAATGCACCATTGAAAAAAATTGCCCCTCCTTAACAAGATTCCTGTGCACGCTAGTGATAGGTAGGGTCCAGGTGTGGGAGCTGCCTTCCTGGCACGTCGGTAGCATTGGTGCTCAGCACGGAAAACAAGATCGACGGAAAAAACAAACCAAAGAAAAAAAAAAAAACCTAAATGGCCAAATTGGAGAAATCCTGGTAAGGGTGCCACTTTTCCGAAAGTTAGGAAAATCCAAAAAATTTCAGATCTCTATCATATATCGTTAGAAAGTTACAGCTTTTATAAAGTAACGCCGGATCAAACAAGACCCCATTATGAGCAAATCATTCAACTTCAATGAATATTTTTCATAGGAATTTTACATCCATCTACCTGTGTATCTTGTAAAAAATATGAATATCTGATAGGCCACCCTCCAGTTCGATTCCTAACTCCAAAATATGGGCCTGTACACAAAATGGTAAATTGATGAAAATTTAGAGGTCGCACCAATGATTTGAATTTTGTATGGAGAATTAGTATGGGAGTTTTTTGATTTTCACTTACATTGCTCTAACTTTGGTTGCAGTTTTCCAAACGATAAAAAATAATTCTTTTATGGGGTGGCTTTTTCAGTCTTTTAGTAGAAACGAATATTTTTTTACGTTCCCGACGTTTCGACCGTTTGGTTGCGGCCTTTCTCAAGGGTTGTAATGTCTATCGAGAAAGCCATCCCATAAAAGAATTCCAATCAACCAGTCGAAGCCACCATTAGCGTTAAAAATAATAATAAGTGGTTTTCATGATGACAAGTATAAACAAGCCTGTTGATGGTATGATGAAATTGGCGTTGTTGTCTTGCACATATTTATTTGTCAATTTACTCTGTTTTTTTATCTTTCTTGATATGGTGTAAAACTGATCGTGATTTATTAAATTCATCCATAGTAATTCCTGTAATAATTTTAAATCATTGGCGCGACCTCTAAGCCTTCATCAGTCTTTACCAATGTTTGCACAGGTTCACATTTTTCATATTCTCCGCTTGGAATATTTTTCGGTAAGAAATTATCGAACAAAGGACACTTAGATGAGTGTGCAGACTGATCTAAATTTTCATCGATTTTCCTCATATTTGAGCAGATTTTTAAGGAAAAGCGAGTAAAACTTTACTGAGTTTATGAGTGACCTACGTTTTTGCTATTTTAAGTGTAAAACCACTCAATTTTAAGTCTATCTAATGTAAATTGTGAAAGTTCCATAAATAGATAATGAATAGAAATCGATAAGTCAGCAAAATTATATTCTTCTAAGAGAAGCCAAGCACAATGGAACGCAAGCCCATGGAACTTAACAGTTCTTTGAGGAAATGACACCCACATGCTCCGGTCAACCCCTATAATGCAGTTTTGAACCCAAACTAATTTTCCATTTTCCCTTTTAGGCAAAGTCCTGGTACACTGCATGATGGGCATGTCGCGTTCGGCGACTTGCGTCCTCGCCTACCTGATGATCGCCCGGAAGATGTCTGCCACCGAAGCGGTCCGGACAGTCCGCATGCACCGTGATATCCGGCCTAACGAAGGCTTCCTGCAGCAGTTGGCCGACCTGGACAACGAGTTGAAGCGAGACCGGCTGTACTATTGACTCGAGTGTGGCCAGCGTTTCCGGAGGAAATAGCGGTCCCTTACCAATTAAACTTCCTGACCCCTCACCACTCTTTTTGACGAACACCTCATGTTCATCTTACCCCATCATTGACAAGTCATTAATTACAAAAAGATAATATATGCTGGTTGGCTGCTGGAAATCGAAGCCTTCTCTTCTCACAAGGAGAGTAGAACAAGTTTCCTGAAAGGATGTAGGTTCGAGGTAGATTTATGAGATTTTTCTACGATTTAGCAGAAGATTGTTAAATTATACTATATCTATGTAGACAGAGAGGCTTATAGTTTTTTTTTTTCTCCGACGAGATGCCAGGACTAGTGAAAGAACATGGAATGATCTCAGCTTCATATATCACAAAACAGAAACCCGAAACACAGATTCACGAGATATATTTATACATATACTGTTGGTGTGATTTATTTTATTCCACTGGAATTCACTGTCTCTACCTGCCCGGGGACAAAACTGGGAGTAAATCAACACACGAAAAACCCAAACTAGCATATACGACACACGAACCACTCTCACTATAGGGAAAACCCCAATAATGATGGTAGAATTTTATCGATCACAGACAATCTACTGTCTGCTTTGTTACATACATGCAATATATACCATCTAATACAGAAACTGTCATCCCCGCCTCCCCAAATATGACATTCACTGGCGTATTTACAATTGACACACACGAATGGTTCTTACTCAGCGCTTGGGAAAATTCCTGAATCCGAATCTTCCTAGAGTTGGAGGGCACCCATCAGAAAGCAACATGCCAGGATCGAGAAGAGAACAGTAGTCCACCACTGGGCCAAAGAGCAGGGAACGGAAAAGGGCAGAAGGAGTTGTAAAACGGGGAGCATATAATCAAATGAACCTAGCAGAGGACGTGAATGTGTAACGTTTTTATGGGTCTGAGCGATTTGTTGTTTTGTCGGTTTTTAGGAATCAGAGTCGTTAACAAGGCAAGGAAGTTATCGAACCGGATACGATTCGAATCGTAGCACACCAATATTTATACAATAAAATAAATACATACAAACAGAAATATAACCCAGTGAGAGATTTAACAATGGAATCAAATACAAAACACACAACAAAGGTTCTAGAACGATAAGCAAAAGTTTCTGATAGAAATAAAAAAAAAAGCAAGAGCATATATATTATGAAAAAAAAGAATTCATTAACAATTTTATTAGATTGACTAAACATTATAAAAACAAGAAAAAAAAAGATTAACATGAATAGCATGATTAAAAGTATAACAGAATTTAAGAAACCTTTCAAACTCTCATGTCCGAAGGAATGTGAAAGAAATGGCTCCAAAAAATCATTCGTCACTTGCATGACTAGCACATAGTTCGTTCTACATGAGAGTCCAATAATACACCAACCCACCACCGACCGGCGCCGTCAAAAACCGGTGGCTGATGGTAGCCAATGACGACCATGACTATTAGAACGAACTACGATGATGATGGAAACGTTGAACGGATTGAGCTAAAATAAGAAGTCATTAACCGCTCAACGTCCCCACCCACAATCTGCGGTGGCAAGCGATCAGTCAGCAGCGATGATAACACCTACAACTACATAGCTATCAAGGGTGCGTTTTATTGGTGGTCTCTCCCCCCCCTCTAATTTCATAGTCTTTTCCTAATAGCTGACTAATGTTTGATAGGGGGTTTGTTTTCTTGTTGTCGGTGAATCGAATAGAAGAGAAAAAAGTTTACCACTGCTGTGGGTGGCGATGATTGCTGAGAAAAGTTTTCCGTTCAGACCAGAATGTTTATGAAGTCAAACAAATAAAGCTACAATGGCAGACAAACAGACGTGACTCGTTGAATCAGTTTTTCTTGAAAACATTGTACCTCAAGTAATAGGAACTCAGTAACGAAACGTGAGTGGTTCGCGGAAATGATAATATTCAAATAAATCGGTAAATGCGTGAACGATGAACCAGAATGAAGTGCAACGTCTATTTGTCTGTGCTACAATGGTAGACAAGCATGTGTAATTGATTCGTGTTTCGTAACTGGGCTTTCCATTTGATCCCGACCTGATTTGGCACGTAATAGCAACATTCCAGGAATCATTTTTCACCAAAAATTTACGATTGTTAAGAAGCTGCCGACCTTTTCCAATACCCCTTAATCGAGGCTAGGCACTTTCTGCCAAGTTCAATCTTCTACAACGACAGTCTTATTCAATCTCGTCCGCCCGATGATGAAGGAGTGCCATCCGGACGCATCCAATCAAACTGACCGATTTACGTCTCACACGAAGAACTAACTGTGTAACCACCGACATCGACGCGCGCTATCAGCGTTTGATGCGTAGCTGACCAATTGCAGCGCTGGTCATCGAGACTAGGAAGATTGTGCCTCCAGCAGTCGAAGCGATACGAAATGCTCACAACAACCGGTATGGTTCGGTATTACACGGACAAATCTGGCCTTGTATGCCTACCGAATACGGGGGGAAGCGACGACGACCCTTCAACTCTCTTTCTAGAGCCATCACCCGAGAGAAGGTTATCGAGGGAGCGAAATTTTTCGGCGGCTTATCTACGCTGGACCTTTTTTAGCCATCGCTGTCTCACGTCTTCGGCTACCAACCGACAACCATCGACGTCGTAGGTCATTTATGCCAACGCACCGAATCTGGCGTGTTTTGGTAATTAGAACACGACTGAAGCAACGAATTTGTCGAAGCTTTCGGAAGGGTTATATTTTTAACCTACTTAACCGTAGAAGATAGTTTCGTCACTTCTAAGACATGTTGTAAGAATCTTTGGACTCTCAATCACAATAATTTAACGGAAATCAACACAATTGCAGCCGCCCTGACATGCATGACCGACGACTGCACTGATAACAACAACGACAAGCAGGAACTCTCACCATGTTAGCAGATGATTTTGTTTTGTTCAGACTGTACCGCTTAGCTTTGCTGGTAAATTAATTGTTCGTGTTTTTTTATACTTCCCCCCTTATTTCGTTATTTGAAGTGATTGTTGATTACCCAAAGCGCGAGACAAAATACGGTTCAGAAGAGTGGAAAATGTTTGGTAAACACTGCTTGTCTTGAATAGCGTCTATTCATACAAGAGGTCGGCTATTTCCGTGAAAGAAATCACTGCAGATCGATTGCTAGCGATAATGACAAGCGAGACACGTGTCAGCTTCTTTTTTGCCAGGCTGGATGATGGAAATGGATTACACAAATTACCCACATACAATATATGGAATCATGCAAGTCAGACTGGATTTGACTATTGGGAAGCTCCTTTAACAAGGTGGTAGAAATTTGTGAATTCAGTCAACATACCAGTAAAGGGTGATACGGTCAAAATTTGGTCAATATCAACTTGACGTATTTCTTTCAATTTTGCATTTAAAAAACCTGAACACCCCTCATTTTGAAGGTGTGTGTGTGTAGAATGTTGCCCCTATTTTGATTTTGGAATTCACTCTTCAGTTGTCAAAATGCCGTCCAAGCAAGAAGAGCAGCGTATCAAAATTTTGCTCGCGCATCGCAAAAATCGGAGCTACTCGCACACAAAGTTGGCAAAATCGCTAAAAGGTGCCAAATCAACCGTTACAAATGTAATTAAAGTGTTTGGGGAACGTTTGTCGACAGCCAGGAAGTCTGGATCGGGGGGAAATCAAAAACCGGAAGCCGCTGAGACGACAAAGAGAGTTGCCGGTAGTTTCAAGAGAAACCCTAACCTCTCTCTCCGAGATGCCGCAAATAAGCTGGGTGTATCGTCTACAACCGTGCATCGAGCCAAAAAACGAGCCGGACTATCGACTTACAAGAAGGTAGTGACTCCAAATCGCGATGATAAACAAAATACGACGGCCAAAGCGCGATCCCGGAGGCTGTACACGACGATGCTGACGAAGTTTGACTGCGTGGTAATGGACGACGAAACCTACGTCAAAGCCGACTACAAGCAGCTTCCGGGACAGGAGTTTTATACGGCAAAAGGAAGGGGAAAGGTAGCAGATGTTTTCAAGCACATGAAACTGTCAAAGTTCGCAAAGAAATATCTGGTTTGGCAAGCCATCTGTACCTGTGGCTTGAAAAGCAGCATTTTCATAGCTTCCGGGACTGTCAACCAAGAAATTTACGTGAAAGAGTGTTTGAATAAACGTCTGCTGCCTTTCCTGAAGAAACACGGTTGTTCCGTACTGTTTTGGCCGGATTTGGCATCTTGCCATTACGGTAAAAAGGCCATGGAGTGGTACGCCGCCAACAACGTGCAGGTGGTTCCCAAGGACAAGAACCCTCCCAACACGCCAGAGCTCCGCCCAATTGAGAAATACTGGGCTATTGTCAAGCGGAACCTAAAGAAGACCAAAAAAACTGCTAAGGGCGAGCAGCAGTTCAAGGCAAACTGGCTTTCTGCGGCGAAGAAGGTGGACAAGGTGGCTGTACAAAATCTGATGGCAGGGGTCAAGCGTAAGGCCCGGCAATTCGGATTTGGAAAAGCGGAAGCCTAACTGAATATTTTTCCTGAATTTTATACTAATTGAACTTGAAAAAGAAATTTAATTTGATTTTTTAAACAAACGATTTCACCGATTTACACGCGTTTTCCCTTGACCAAATTTTGACCGTATCACCCTTTAGAGCAAGGATGCCAGGTATATTTAGGAAAAATTCTTTATCGAGATCGACGAAATCCCTTCACATGTCTTCACAGCTACTGTTCAAGAGTGTGGGGGCGGGTGTTTAATATTTCAGATATATAAAACTTTACAGAGGTAGGGCAGTTTGTAGAAAATAAGACACCGTCATGTGATTCAGAGAACTTCGTAAAAGTTCGGAGAGAATCGTTGAAGTTCAGAAAACGTTGTAGAGCTTCAAGTTTCTTAGAAATCCATGAGACTTCATAAAACCTAAACTACCAAAAAGAGTTTAGAAAAGTGCGTGGGAGTTCAGGAATCTTTCTAGAAGTGCAGCCAATTTTATAGAAGTTCAGCTAACTTTGTAGAAGCTCAGCGAATTTTATGGAAGTTCAGTATACTTTGTCGAACTTTAGTGAACTTCGTCGAAGGACAGTTAATTTTGAAGAAATTCATCCAACTTTGCAGACATTTATCGAATTTTATATAAATTTAGCAAATTTGGTAGACATTCGCAGAACTTCATTGACGGAGATCGCAGGAGGCCGCGCTTGAAAGCTGACGTGTTTTTCTTCTGTGTGTATTTTTCGTTAGCGAATTAAACATTTTTTGTGACTCGGTTGACCTTGAATCTAACCTACAAAATCTACGTCGCAGCTTCAGTTCCATTGTTCGGTGCCGGTTTTCATTGCCTCCCGGGAACGCGGTTTTCCGAGTTCGGATTTCATACTTTCGGCACCAGTTCTATTGAGAGATTCGTCACCATGGGCGAGTTTGAAACCGATCCGGTTGGTGAATTAGCCTGGGAACGTGCTGATAATGTGTCGGTCACGAGTTTGGGTGGAAGACGTTGCCGTGAATCAGCAAATTTTTCGCTTGCAAAAATGCTCGGCAATGCAAGCAAATTTGTGTTCGTTGAAGGAAGTATTTCGACAAAGGTGCATCTCGAAATGATATGCAAAGCTTAGATAAAATCAAAACTACGGAACCCAAGGATTGGATGATCAAAGTAACATGGTAAAACCAGTTCAAACACTTTTTACAATTAAAAAAAACATAAGCTAAATACGTGCCGGAATTCAACAGAACATTTTGAAACTGGAAGTGTGTGTGTTTGTGTTTAATACTGTATGTATGTATGTATATACAATCCAACTTCCACTGTCCGGCAGTGTTTTTATGGAAGAAAAATGTTTGCAACCTAATCTATTATTATCTTATACTGATCCCATTGCAAACAATTTTAGCCCGGAAGTTGAAAGGTTGTTGAGATTCAGAAACCCATTGCAGAATGCCTGGTTACTCACGTCCATTCCGAGGTTACTTTCACTTACAACAAGCCCCGCATACACGTAGTACCGATATAAAACGTATATAGGTACTGCGTGTACACTTCCA